TTGCATGCTAAATTCGTATTGCCAGTCGTTAAAGTAAGATCTCAGGATCGATTATTATAATGGTAAAAAGTTAAATCTGCCGCTGCAGGGAAAGCCCTTCGCCTCGTCCACTCCTTACGCGCAGTCTCAGAAGCTGCAGCTTGGCCTTGACAAGCTCGGGTTAGTTTATTGCCTGATGCATGGCTAGTGCATGTTCGATTGCTGTATAACATATGTGCTAAATGTCTGTCGTTTTGAAACAACTTTAACTAAATATATATTAAAAAATATTAATATTTATGATACATAATTAATATCATTGGATATATATTTAAATCTATTTTTTAATAAATATATTTGGAAATAGAAATATTATACATATTTTCTATAAATCGAGTTAAATTTATTGTCATGCAAATCGCAACAACAAACATTTAGGGACAGAGAGTACATTTGTTTGAGGTACAGCATCCTATAAGCTATCTTTTCTAGGTTTTGGCTCTTCTTTTTTTCTTTTCTCAAACACTCAGGAGACCATCTCCTCTGGCTCTGGCTATGGGCTGATGGTAATTTACAACCAATTACAAACACTGAGAAACAGAGAAAACAGCAATGAACAGCTACCTGCACAGGCCAACACAACTATCTGATCAACAAGAGAAGAAAAGAAAGACTGAAAACTGAAAAGGCCGAAAGCCTAACACACAAACTATGCCAACGGGAAACACTTAGAAACAGAAAAAACAACAACGAACAGCTACCTGCACAGGCCGCCGTGAACGCAGCCCTGATGGCGTACACCTTCCACCCGGCGATGGCCATGACGAAGACGAGGAACGCGGAGGGGACGAGGCAGAGCACGACGGCGGCCGGCAGGCGGGCCGGGACGCGGTACGGGCGTGTCAGGCCGGGTTGCTTGACGCAGAGCCAGACGAAGGCGGCGAACTCGAGGAGCATGCCCAGGCTGTAGAGGAAGTTGGCGGCGGCCACGATGATGTCGAAGCTGAAGAAGGACATGCCCAGCGTGATTGACCATGGAGTATAATACGGATACTGTTTGCCACTGCAATTGGAGATGTTCTGCTATCTATCGTAATTCATGTATGTATGAGATTGGAGAGCAGCACGAGGACTCAGCAGCTTGCACTGGACCCCGTGCTCGCCTGTGACGCGGTAGCGGCACTGGAGGTTGTCGCGGCCGCGCCCGGCGTCGCGTGCCTTGCAGCGGCAGGTGTCCCCACTCCGGCAGGCGCCACAGCCGGCAGTGACGGCGGATAGGGACGACGGCAGAAGGAGGCCTCGAGGAAGTGGAGCTCCGTGTCACGCCTCCCTCGCCGCTGGCGGCGGCGGCGGCGCAGAACACACAGGGGCATGCGGAGCCGGGCGCCCGCGACGCGACATCGCTGCAGCGCTACCCGAGGTGGTCGCAGCGGACGCCATGATGCCCTGCTCTTGCCCACGGGCGGCCAGGTCCGCGCGGCGGCCTGCGGCTTTGGAGCGAGGGAAGAGGAGGAGGAGGGGGCGGGTCGCGGCACGAGAAGGCGGAGAGACTAGCGTAGCAGCTAGCCGTGCCGAAGGAAGGATCCTCCCGAACCATCCCATCGATGACGGCGCATGGGTCATCGAGGACGGAGAGGGTGAAGGCGACGGCGTCCTCTCCGGCCGTCGCGAACAGCACGCGCTCCGATCCGTAGAGGCGTCTCTGCTGTGCTAGGGGAGCCAAGAGACTGACATCAGGGCCCACCACCACCATGTCCTGTCTTCCCATGTTGGAGTGCCATGTAGGCAAACCGGCTGTCAAAAACACTCTAGGGGGTTAATTAAACGATTTGGAAAACTATAAGGTGCTCGATAGGCGGTTTCGAAGTTTAGAGGGTGAAGTAGCCGCAATGCCAAAGGTGAGGGAGTTATGTAGACTTTTTTCATTTTTTATAGAGGGTTAGGTCCATTGTTGGGCTAGGCTTAGGGTATGCCTTGCCATACCCGGACAGCCCATTGGATCCGCCCGTGGCGCCATGTTCGCCGGCCACCGGCTCGCCACGCCTCCTGACTCCCCGAACAGCATGAAACACGTGCAACATAAAATACTTGAATGCAACGTATGTCTGAAACAGATGAAACATATGGAACATACACTTGCAACATATGTGTGTGAACATATGCAACATTCAGATAGAATACTAACAACTTGCAACATGAAAACACTTGTTGCAATAGAAAACTGAAACGGATGAAACATTTTGCAACATATTATTGCAACATATGTGTGAAAACATATGCAACATCTAGATCAAAACAATTGCAATATAATACAAATGAAACATTTTGAACAAATGCTTGCAACATGCCTCTGAAACACTTGCAACATATTCAACATCCATATTAAATAATTGCAACATACCTCTAAACCCCTGAAACAATTGTGTCGGGTTTATAAACCCGGGGTCCCCAATGGACCCACTTCCCTACAAAACTCGGCCCAGTAGGCGGCGCAGCGACAGCACGCGCCTGGGCCGGCCCAAATACACAATGACAGGCCAAGACCACGATCTGGTCCCTGACCGGCACCTTCGGCCAGGAGATCTGGTCGAAACGCCGACCGGAAGGCCTGGCCGTGGTGGGACCGCAGTCCGACTCCGACCCCCTTTCTCCGACCGAGGATACGCCGGACCTCCGCTCGCTGCTCTTTCCCGACCGACATGGTCGGGGCCAACTGGGAACGACCGACCGGGGACGCCAGCTCGGTGTGGGCCCGAGAGCAAGCGGAGCAGATAAGGTAAGACGCTCAAGTCAACCGCAGTACCGAGGACCGTAACCTACCATGCCCTGCGCACCTGCAGGAAGGTGCCGTCGGGCCATGTCAGACGGACATCAGACACCTACCGACGCTGCGCCGAGCATGAAACAGATATTGTAGGCGCCGTTGTTTACCGTACCAAAGTAACATTGTGCACAACCTACCACATACAACAGAGTATGAACAATAAGGTGGACGATGGCGGTGTAAACAGTATGGTGGACGACGGCGGCCATTCCGTACCCGATGGCGTGGGCAACAAGACTAGGCAGCGCCTGTATACACACACTCTCTCTCTTTCTCTCTGACTTGTAAGGCCATCCCCTTCAACTATAAAAGAGGATGCGCTCTCTCCTAAGACACGACGCCTCAACAGTTCTAGAACTCGACAGCTACACAGCTCTAGAACTCGACAACTACACAGTCTACACGCTCTCAACAGCTGATAAGCTCGAACACACAGAGCATACGCTTCAATACTTAGCACACGTTTGAGCATCCGTCACTATCTTCCACTCTTTCGTTTCCGAGTCGAAGGCATCTAACACCCTTCTTCATTCCTTACTATTTGTAACCCCGCAACAAACTTGAGCACACACGCTCGTAATAAAAGTCACCGATCGATTGAAACGGATGTAGGGCACGTTGTTTGACCAATATAAATCTCGTGTCATCATCGCGCTACCACCTCCGATCACAACAACGCACGACAAAACTATAAATATATTTACTTGTCGAGCACATTTCGCGCTCCAAAATTGAAACATATATTTGCAACATCCATCACGATCTTCCACTCGGTTCCGAGACGGCGTTGCATCTGACAGCACCACCACCACCTTCTCATTCCTTACGAGGCGCCATTGTACCGGTCAAGATAAACAACGGCAACTGCTGGGTACCAATACCCACTCGCACCCGCCAGATCAAAATCTTACCCGTCGGGTTACCCGTACCGCATGCGGGTAGAAAATTCATTCCGATACCACTTTTGATGGGTAATTCTTACCCGACAATATACCCGGAGTTCACGCACTAAAATATAATAGCTTCCAACAAAACAAATCAACAATAGACGAAAAAAATAAATATTGGTGGAGTGGAGTGAGGATGAGGATTAGGGTTTGAGGGAGTTCTAGAATATATATACTCAATGCTTATATGGGCAAATATATTTTATGCAACATAGGGGAAAATTGCAGAGGTTGGATATTATTTATGCGGGTTTTTTCGGCCGGTATCTGGTATGGGTAGTATACACCACACCCGCACTCCGCATATCCGATGGGTACAAAAATTCGTCCAATAACGTACCCGCGGGTGCAAAATGTCTTCCATACCCGCTTCCTTATCGGGTAAAACCCATCGGGTACTCGGGTTTCGGGTACCCGTTGCCATCTTGAGCCACCGGGGTGAGGGGAGCTCGATCTCTGGGGTGAGAGAGGGTGCCGTCAGGGGGTGGGGAGGGCGCCGCGCCGGTGTGGGAAGAGACGCCTACTTCCCTGCAACACCACCGCGCCACCTCCATGGATCTGGCTGGAGGTGACATTTGTGCGGTACATCGGACGCTCCATTCACAAAAACAATCACGTTCCGACCCAACCAACCCCGCGCCAGCAAAATACGACAAGCGGCCACTAGACACCAAGTAGTTTTTTTTATGAATTACATTAGTACAGACGCAGACGCTCAACACGCACGCACACTCACCCCTATGAAAAAAACACGTATGCAAACCCTATCCTATGAGCACCTTACAAACAACCGCAAGGAAAAGTAAAAATTACGAATACAAGAGGAACTTAAATGCGGCTTGTGGGGCATTTATTGTGAGGAAAGTGCAAGCAGAAGGCATGTATACCAAAGGTTAAAAAAAATGGTGGCAATAGCCTAGGTAAAACGCATTCTCTCAAGATAATACACAAGGACGTTCTTCAGAAAGATTTGAGGAACATTCAATCTGATAACACGAAGCTATCAAACAGTAAACATCGACTTGCTAACATTTGCAGACAGATCTATCCTACAAAACCTTATGATACACAAGCTCAAAATCTTCCTGGAACAATTTTTGCTAGTGGGTCGATTTAACTGTAATCTTAAGCCTTGTAAAGCAGGAATATTGACAAACTGCAACCAGTTCTTCTATCTGTATGTACCAACTAAGCTCCATATATGTCTGGCCAAATCTGCCCGATCAACACTCACTGCATTGAACTTGAAGTCATTCTTCTGGCTTGGATGCGAGCAACCTCAAGCCTTCTCCTTCTATACAGTGCATACCCTTGTCGACATAGTTGCTTCTGTCAAAATTTGTCACAGCATTTTTGCCACGTATCTCAATGGCAGCAATATCATAAGCCTCTGCGGCTTCTTCCTCAGTTTCTGAAACAAAATTAAAATCATCAGTAAACTCAAATCAGTTACTTTTCAAAAGCATGTGTAAACCACAGTTCATGTGCTGCATACTGAATGTTCCCAGGTAAATGTCTCTAGTTCCAGCAACCAGTCCTATGCGTGCTTGCCATCTCCCATCTTTCTGCCTTCTGGCATTGGACAAGATTTTAGTTTAGTTTCAGTATAACATACAGAACAAAAAGGTAATGCTTTGAAGTCTCAGCAAGCTCAACAAAACAAATAAAAGACAGGTAACCTTGTCACTCCTCTGTAAATAGAAGCTCCTCTTGAAAAGCAGCTGCTCCTCCTGCAGGATGAGGCAAATTACTGTGGTAGCCGTTTCTCTACAGTGATATAAATGGGGAAGATTGATAACATACCTTCTCAAGTATGTCACACATTCCTCTCGAGACAAATCCCTTATGTCCTCCAATTCCTTTCCATATTGTTCAATCTGGAATAATTCTGTCATGTATAAGACCATGTAACTGAAAAAATATCACTGAAGCCAAAGGAAAAGAACTTGCCAGAAAGTTTAGTCTGGTATTTTGGCCCCAGTATTTAATAGCAGCAACATCATAAGCCCTGGCAGCTTTTTCCTCGGTATCATAACTTCCTGCAAGGTACAGAATTTAGGGGGAAATAATCGAACTTTAAACACAAGAACCAAGACAAAGATAAATGAATTAACATTAGTTACCTAGATAAACTGAAGCACCGCCACATCAGAACATTGCAAGAAACCGTTAGTACTAAGTGACAGATAACTAAATACACATCATACAGAAAGAAATAAGATAATAAATTGTCATAGAAACAGCATCACAAAAAAAAATTTGTCATAGAAACAGTATCATCTTTGATGGTGGTACTTAACCTTCAGCGATGGAAAAGGTCTTTCGGGGAAGTACTAGCTTTACTAGTTCATAGGGCTATTTCATGGAAGAGTGCGCTCCTAGAACAGGGCTGAGTAATTTCTCAATACTTTATTTTCTCATGATAAAACGTACAATGAATGGATGGAAACAAATTAGAATATGTATCTTATCAGTTTAGATATGTGGATTGCTCCGTTTAATTTCACATAGGATTTGGATTTGACAATTTTCGAGCTATTTTTTTAAATCTAAGGCTTTACTTGTTTATGTTTATTTCACAGTTATTGATAAATTGCTCCATTATATGGTTTTTTCTATTGTTACTGAATCGATATACAGCACGTGCATGGTAGCCACTATATAGGGAAAAAACAGTAGGGAACGTCACTGATGTTTCTTAAGATATATATACAATCCAGAAAACCAGAAACAGAAACAGTTGATATGACATACTAGGTTAAAACAGCTTAAATAACTAACAACAAAATGATTCTGATCATTGGCAAAACAATTATTTAGTACGTGTCACAGGCCGATATAGCCATGATGGGCTACGGAAGTATGGGGCCCAAGTCGGGCCAATAGGGTCTAGGAGCTAGGTTTGCTTGTAGGTCAAGTCGAGTCGAGTCCTCCCTATATATATAAAGGGAGATGTATCCTTTCAATCTTAAGCAAGAACAGTTCGGGGTAAAACCCCTCTACCCCTCTCCCTCTCTTCTCCTGCCGCCGCCCCTCTCCTCTCCCTGCGCCTCCCAGCCCTAGCAGCCGCCGCAGCAGCCGCCACTGTTCCACACCGCGCCCATGCAGCCCGCAGCATCGCCTCCAGCCATCACCGCAGCGGCCAAGCCGCTCACCGCTCGCGTGGACGGTCGCAGCTCCTCGCTGCTGCCGCTCCCCCTCCTTACCTAGGCGCGGCCAGCCCTAGGGCTGCCGCTCCTTCCTTCTAATCCTCCCTCAACTCCCCCTATCCTCCCTCTAATCAAGGGGAAGTCATGCCCCCCAACAGGCGTCTGACAACTGGTATCCGGAGCCACGTTCCGATCTACTACCATGGGAGACTACCGCAGCGGCTTCTACCAATGGACACAGGCATCTACCTTCGTTCCCATGCCGACTGCTCCAACAACCGGTGGATTCTACACCGCAAACTCCGCCACTATTTTTTCTCTGGTTGCATCTAAAGATGGGAACAACGTCTACCACTCCGTCAACAACGGCTACGCATCGTTCAACAAACCAACACCGGCGTTGACAACATACAAACCAGCAGCAGCTCCACCACCATTGCCATCTACGCCAACATCTGATCATAGGAAAAAGGAGCTGAACGGAATTTTTGCAAGGCACCAAACCTCTCCATCAACGGCAGATCCAAATCAGCTGGAAAGTAACGTCCCAGAGGCGCCAATCCCACTCAGAAGAGGAGCACCGACGACGACATCCTCCGCATCTGATAGTCAAATTACCCCCAAAATTTTCTTTGCAGATCCCTATAAGGTGCCTTCAGATGCAATCTCCTCAGCGCCCACATCTATGCCGTCAACGATGTCACCAACATCGCCTACACTATTTGCACGTCGGAGATATCTACATCAGCACCATCACTACCTCCGGCGAAATCTATAACAGCGACAACTACTACAACAAAGCTGGCAACATCCATACCTGCATCACAAGCCTGCGACATCATCGTAAGGCTGACACCACCTACAACTTCTTCGAAGGCATCACCTCCAACGGCGACAATCACTTCCACACGATCAGAATCATCTTCGCCAACAACTGCCACATGGAGGGCTACCAAGGATTCAAGAGCAGCCAGGGCCGACCCTAACACAACGGGACTCGCATCTTCTCCATCAGCTATCATTATCACAAATAAGATTTCATCTACATCGCCGATCTGCGCAACACCCGCGACATCAGCTACAGATCCCTATAAGGTGCCTTCAGATGCAATCTCCTCAGCGCCCACATCTATGCCGTCAACGATGTCACCAACATCGCCTACACTATTTGCACGTCGGAGATATCTACATCAGCACCATCACTACCTCCGGCGAAATCTATAACAGCGACAACTACTACAACAAAGCTGGCAACATCCATACCTGCATCACAAGCCTGCGACATCATCGTAAGGCTGACACCACCTACAACTTCTTCGAAGGCATCACCTCCAACGGCGACAATCACTTCCACACGATCAGAATCATCTTCGCCAACAACTGCCACATGGAGGGCTACCAAGGATTCAAGAGCAGCCAGGGCCGACCCTAACACAACGGGACTCGCATCTTCTCCATCAGCTATCATTATCACAAATAAGATTTCATCTACATCGCCGATCTGCGCAACACCCGCGACATCAGCTACAGATGCCCTAGGCGCCAACTCTGTGAATACACCAAAGCTGACCCTCAACATGCTGCTACAGGACGACGTCAACAATATTACAACAATGCAACCATCATCAACATCGTCGTCCACCGACAGTTCAAAAAAGGGAACCACCGCAACTCATAGTGTTCAGGATGAACACAAGATTACCTCCCCTCCAGACGGTGCTTCACCATCAATTAGCGCAGTTAGCGCATCAAAGACGACTACACAGAGCCCCAAGTCAACAAGTGCAGCCAACTCAGGGAGCAAAAGAGACCCAAAAACTGGCTCTACCTCAACATCACCAATCCTTCCCACCCCCCGCGGCGACTATGCTCCACAACATGAACCAGGTGCTGCCAACTCATTCTCAACAATGCAAGGTTACCGACCGAATCGTTCCCCTCCACCTCAACAAGTGGGATCAATTCTCGGTGCCTTCCCGACGCTCCCAACCTCTAACCTACACCAGCCGGCGACCCCCTTCGACAGCTGAACATCCTCAGGTTTGCCAACATATAAATTTGAGCTCAAAAAATTCTCCGCCTACTACTCCTTGACAACTTCAATGGCGAGAGAAGAGACCACGATTGCATCCTCCCTGGCGTGCTAATACAAATCCACGTCAACAATGGATGCCACGACACGACGCAACACCACCGCTCCCAACGGGCATCATCCGCATCGGCTTGTTCGACGTCCCTCTACAGGCGCCACAGATAGTGGATCGTACACCGATTCCGATCATTACAACGGGTGGCGTGCAACACCACCAAAAGTGACTATCACATCAATCTCAACAGCTTAGCAACAACGTCTACAGCTAGCACCAATCATCAACACTACTGCCGATATACCAAAAGGCCAGGTACATCTTCAAAATGTTCCTAAAACTAACCAGGCCAACTATAATATAGCACCACCTGAGACCGATGTCCAAGACGCTCCGGCAGCAACAACTCCAACAAATAAGGCGTCTAAATACACTTCGGGGCATATGGGCTACAACATCATCATCATCAGGAGTGACAAAGCCCCCACGACACCACACTGCTCTCGACGTCAGCACCACCATCAGAAAGACCATCAACAAGGCCCAACCACAACTAAAGTACAGCCGCGCCCACATCTTCAATGGCCTCGACATAAGCAGTACCATCTACTACGAGGTTACTATCACAACTGTACTGCCACAATGAGGTAACGCACCTAGCTCAAGCTCAATCGTTGCTATGGGGCTACCTCGGGAGACAACCATGGCCACCACCACGACTACGCAACTGGCAACATCAAGCAGGCTCCAACACTTCAAAAACAAAAGGCGGCCACTGCAACATCAACCTCAACCGCGACGCTACAACGAGCATGCAACAGAGCTTAGCACGAGGACGTGCTGTCTCGGGAAGGCGGGAGAAGTGTCACGGATCCAACTCCGACACCCATCGTCATGGAGCTGTTTCAGCAACATCAGGTGCCACCGCCAGGAGGAGCTTCTTCAACCAACGACATCGACGAGTGGGCAACGATACAGCGCGAGGACGCGCTGTGCGGAGAAGGGGGAAGTGATGTCACAGGCCGATATAACCATGATGGGCTACGGAAGTATGGGGCCCAAGTCCGGCCAATAGGGCCCAGCGAACAGTAACCGAGAGTCGAGTCGAGTCGAGTCCTCCATATATATATAAAGGGAGATGTATCCTTTCAATCTTAAGCAAGAACAGTTCGGGGTAAAACCCCTCTACCCCTCTCCCTCTCTTCTCCTGCCGCCGCCCCTCTCCTCTCCCTGCGCCTCCCTGCACTAGCAGCCGCTGCTGTTCCCCACCGCGCCCATGCAGACCGCAGCATCGCCTCCAGCCATCACCGCAGTGGCCAAGCCGCTCACTGCTCGCGTGGACGGCCGCAGCCGCTCGCTGCTGCCTCTCCCCCTCCTTACCTAGGCGCGGCCAACCCTAGGGCTGCCGCTCCTTCCTTCTAATCCTCCCTGCCCTAGCAGCCGCTGCAGCAGCCGCCACTGTTCCCCACCGCGCCCATGCAGCCCGCAGCATCGCCTCCAGCCATCACCGCAGCGGCCAAGCCGCTCACCGCTCGCATGGACGGCCGCAGCCCCTCGCTGCTGCCGCTCCCCCTCCTTACCTAGGCGCGGCCAGCCCTAGGGCTGCCGCTCCTTCCTTCTAATCCTCCCTCAACTCCCCCTATCCTCCCTCTAATCAAGGGGAAGTCATGCCCCCCAACAGGCGTCTGACAGTACGTGTTTGAAAACTCCCCTCCTATGATCTATAAGAGGTCATGATACATAATTATATGTTAAGCGAAAAGCACTCTCACAAGACAGTGCATAATGGTTTCCCCTCATCCCATATGAACATAGGAACTTACTAAAGGATGCGACTATTTATGTAGGCTTGCAGCTATACTTAGCTGCTTCCACTACAGAAAAATGTCTATTAAGAGTACAAATTAATTAATGTTTACAGGAATTTAATAAAGAATGCAACCATTTTTGTAGCTATACTTGGCTGCTTCCACTACAAGACAATGTCTATTAAGAGTACAAGGTAATTGATGTTTAGAAGGTGACAATGTGAGAATAATGAGACACATCACATACTTTTCGCACATTGCATCTAAATGTAAGCTGACCTACTTTTGCAGGAGCTTGCTAATCCAATAATCGCAGCTCAAGTGTGCAGTGCCAGAAATAGTAAGTGGACCAACCAATATAGGGCACATAAATATCTTAACACGCATGTGTGGAACTAGGACAGATGATAAAGTTATATAAATGCAAAAAAAAAAAATCAATACTGACTGACAACAAAAGAAACATGACACCGACTGAAGAATGATATGGCACACATAATTACATACAATTTTTAATATTGGTTCAGAAAGGCATAGTTTGTACTAAATGATAGGTGGCCTGGACAAAGCTATCAAATTTGTAGCTCTTCTATAATTGGACAAGAATCTAGTTCTGTTCTCTCACTGCTACAGAAAGTATTGCCCAAGATTCTCACTCAATGGTAGATAAATGAGAAGAGGACAGAGAAATAAATGCACAATATTAGCTCCCATGGAAACCTAATTTCTTTACATGGCCATATTTCTATATCTGGTAATGCCATGTAATCAATATTTACTAACAAAATGGTAATGGTTCGGTATATAAACAGTAAATCTCCTTTAGATTAAAGGTCTCATACTGCTGGTTAGATGGTTAAAAATAAATGGATACCTTGTTTCCCTTTCCTTCTACGTCCCTCTACTCTGCAAGAACTGTCCCATAAATGAGCTTCATATTTCCCACTCCATCTATGCCTGCACAAATTGATGATACTTTGGCAAATTGTCCCAGTATGCTAAGCAGGCAAGGCGTATTTAATTAAGATAAGATACCAAAGTGATAAATCAATTGCATTGTTTGTCTCCCCTTAGCAACTATTACAAATTACAAGGACACACACCACACTCACCTGGTCACACCATGGAAACTTGATGATCGGGAGCCAGCAGGTCGCACCGCAGAAGTGGCGGCAGAAGCACCTACACCACCCTTCACTTCACTGTACCCTGCAACCGTCCCAGGATTAATACAGTCGCCAATGTCATCTGCAGGCTCATCCTTCTTGACAATGGTGAGCACTTGAACTCTCTCATCATCATCATCATCACCACAATATTCATTTCCAACCAAAGTAACTAGAGCAGCCTTCTTGACAGGGTTCTCATCATCTGCACAGCCTTCAATTTCACTTTCATAGTCGACTTGCTCACACTTGGGTAACTTCTCCTGACCATCACCACTGGATTGCTCTGCCTTTCCGGTGCCTGCATCCTTGGTTCCTGACACCGCTGCACCGTGCGTCTCACCATTCCCCTGGGTGCTCCTCGCCTCCACAGCAACTGCTGGCACCCTATTCAGATTGATAGAGTGGCTCCTCTCAATCTTACCCTCGTCTCCCGATTCTCCCGCAGCCTTATCCTCTTCCATTTGCTTCCCAGGATTAACTCCTACGTCCGATTCCTCCATCTGACAGGGGAGACAAAAAAATAATAATTCCCAGAACCCTAACTATCTCTTCGCAAACTATCCACAAACTCTGCAAGAAAGGGGATGGAAAACATTATTACAATAAAAAACCACATAGTTAGATCCATCCGAAGAAGGAACAACAAACCACAAAGTCGCCTATAACCCATCCAGAATCGGAGAAACCAAGGAAGCAGTGGAAAACCAGTACCTCGAACCGCCGCCGCCGCAGCAGCCGCAGCCCGCAGTGATTGAGAGGTAAAGCCTCCTGACGACGATTGAACCCTAGCAGCGTGGGTATTTAACACCCCGAGAGGCAACGAAACAGGAAATTTCACGAGGCAATCGGCCAGCGACTACCGAGGCAGGGAATTAATAGGGGGCTGCGCGAATGGCGCCGAATTGGGCAGGAAGCGACGAGCACCAGCGGGGAGGCGGCGGCTTAGTGGAGAGTGATGTGGGAAACAACGAAAATTTTCTCGGGCAAAACGAAAAAATCGCAGGGTAATTTTCCGCTCTTGCTCCGCCGGATTTATCTAATCGCCGCAGCAGAGCACAATCTGGGACAGCTGAGCGCAACTGCAGCACTGGGGCTATTGGTGAGGACGTAAGGCAATAGGTAACTAAGGGGTGTTTATAATTTGTTTCCTGGCGTTAACCGGATGATTAAGCGTGAGCTAATTGAGGGGGGGCGTTTGCTTCGTGCACGACGCCCCTCGTGATGCGTGCCAGCCTGTGGGGGAGGGACGAGCGGCAGGCGGCCCGTGCCATGGGGCTGCCCCGGAGGCCCCACACGACGGAGTGGCTCGTGAGGGCGCGCACGGTGCGGATGCGGCTTCCGGTTTCTGCGCCGTTGGGTGTCATGACGGGCCTGACGGCGGACGGACTGGAACGTTCTGCAGGGGCGAGACCGCGGGAGGAACGGAAAGCTTTATCTCGAGGCGTGTCGTGTGTCGAGGCCCTCGCGGGCGCGTGGGAACGTTTAACCTTTAACGGCTCAGAGCGGCGGACGCTTCTAGGGGTCGTGCGTGACTCGTGATCCTTCGGCTGCCACCGCTAGCCAACGCCGCCAGCAGCCGTTTTGTTTTGTCGAACTCCTCGACTTCGCTCCTGATTGTGTTGTTATCTGCAAGGAGTTGTTAGCGAAGTTTCTTTGGAGTAACAAATCCTCTAGCTCGCTTCATGCCTTCATCTCGCCAGTAGGGTGGTCCACTTGGCACTAGTGTGTGATTTGTGGTTGTCTCAACGGATGGCGGCACATGAACAGATCAAGTTTGGACATGTAGCGCGGTTATATGGTTACGATCCCGAGAACGACTGTTGCAAATTCCAAAAACCAGCGGAGTTTGTTTAGATCTTACTTGGCTAATTGTTTGTACTCATTTGTACCAGCGACACGATGGAGGAAAACATACAATTGCCATTACGATAACGAAACGCGACAGCGACATGGTCGACGCTGATGAAGGAAAACATAGTGTTGCCATGGTTACGATAAACACGACAGAGGTAAAGCCTTCGTCAAATTTGATTGTAACTTTCTTGCTTGTTTGAATAAACTTTCATGTCACTGGTTCTTGTTTTCATTAGTATAACTTATGGGTAAGACGCTCTATAGTCCATATTCTCCGAACTAGTCATTTAACCTGTTTACACGTCGTTTAACGCTACATAGTAGTATGTTTTTTCGTATAATCATCCATTTTCTCTCGTTTAAATGGTCATTTTTACCCGTTTAAATGGTCATTTTGCATGAATAATGGCTAAACGACAAATGACCGATTGCTTACCATTTAACGTTTAAAATACTGAATTGATATACGTCAGTCGGTTTATTTAGCCCCCTGCGACATGCGATTTTGTGGCCGCCAGATCAGGAATCGCACGGTCGCGGTGCTCCGTCAGTTGGTCGCCCGAGACGGGCTACCGGTCCCCACCACGTGCTCGTGCTCCAGCGTTCCAGGTCCCGGTCGTCCAGAATACACGCACGTCAATGGTTGGTCCGTGTACGCGCCGCGTCTATGCCCGTGTACAGCTCCAGCGAAATACACGTAGTATGTACGTGTACGCCCAGCCCACATGTATATTTGTATTTTTTCTGAAATTAGTGAATAATTTGTGAACAATTTGATGATATTTGTGAACAATTTGATATATATTTCTCTGATATCTGGAATCCATAGAAATATTTTGTAAATTTTTCTGAAAAATTTGGCATATATTTGTGTTATCCTCAAATTACACCACTATGTCCAATAAATTACACTGAACAAGTCATTGTACATATAGTAATAAGTTAGTGTAAATATAGGTAGAAGACAGTGTAAGTATATGGGAAAATTTTAGTTGATAGCAGGGGCCAAAACAACTGAATGCCACGTAGACAGATCCTTAAAATAACACTGTGTGTAGTGTTTTTTGGAAGAAAACAAATAATGTTTTTAAAAGCAGCATTATAAATTATTAAATGCATGTAATTGCTATAAAACGTAAAGCTGAGAATGATTTAGATAGAAATCCTTGCATAGTTGTATTCATCATTCTCTTAAGTTCTTTTTTCAACCGAATAGATATCATATACGGAGGTATATCAGTTTGCCTAATGACAAGATTAGTTATGAGGGTAATGATATATACGCCAATATCTAAGACTTATATCAGACCAAGACCCTATTTGGATCTCATAGTCTGGAGTTTAGCTGGCTACTAAACTTTTCTACTTTTGCACACTTGTGTAGTCTAATAATGAACTAATGGTTTTTTTGAGATTGACCAAACACCTTGGACTATCTATTTGGAGCCTCAAGTGCTAAAGTAGTAAAGTTCAATGGTTAAACTTTAGACCATGAGATCCAAACATGACCTAGGCCTTGTTTAGTTGACGAAATTTTTTGAGAAATGGTACTGTAGCACTTTCGTTGTTATTTAGCAATTAGTGTCCAATCATAGTCTAATTAGACTTAAAAGATTCGTCTCGTGAATTTTTTCTAAACTGTGTAATTAGTTTTATTTTTTATTTATATTTAATGCTTCATGCATGCGTACAAAGATTCGATGTGACGGGAAATCTTGAAAAATTTTGTAAAATTTTGGGAACTAAACAGGCACCTAATTTCTAGTGCCATACCCAAGGTTAGTAGCAATGTTTAAGTAGGAGTTTTGATGATTTTGTAAAGATAAAATGCGCTCACGTAGGCTAACTCGATGAAGGCAAAACCAATGACTTCATATCACCCATAATAGTCATATTTGAAATTTACTTTTCTCCTACTAATAAAATACTTGAGCAATTCTCCTATCTCTTTCATCTATCGCTCAGACTCGAATTCCTCTGTCGCACTAGCAAAAGGACTCATCCTTCGCACAACCAAGCCCCTCGCCGACTCTTTCTCTCTCTTGTTTTGTTTGGTGATTCCTCTCTCTCTCCATGCCCTCTCTATCCCTCTCATTCCTCTCCATCAGGCTTGCCACTAGGGCTAGTGCCCCTCCATTCTTCCTCCTCGCTCTCTCTCTCTCTCTCCGAACCAGGGTCGTCCCTATCCCTATCCCTTCCCTTCCTCTCCCTATCCCTAGGCCCCGACCTAAGCGGCGACGATGGTCAGCTCCCGAGGCTTGGGTACGAGCTTTGGATGATCACTCAGGCCTGGGTGTGGATGTAAGATTTGGACTCAATGCAGACATGTTATACATTTCTGTTATCGTATTCTATCGTCGTTAATGGTTATGAGACAAACAGGTCTATGAAAATAGGCGGCTCCCACAAAAGTTTTTCCTGTTTTTGGCTTGCGGAGGAAGCGCAGGGTCAGAGGATGAGAGGATGCAGCTGTGAGTTTTGCAACTGAAACCCAAGTGGTTGCTATCGTGTTTTTAATCATTTTTTTTTAATTTTCTGTGCTTTTGAAAACCCACTCTCGCTCTCTTTTTTTCGCTGCTCTCGGTATAATTTCGTTTGGTGCCCTGGTGGTCACTCCCTCTGTTCCGGTCGGCCAACAAACAAACACGCAGAGAGGCTGCAGGACAGTTTGGTTCGTCCAGGCCACATGTCCCTGCTGCGTGCGTTTACGACGCTACGGATCGAAACGGGCGAGGAAACCAGAAGTCAAAAGGGATCGTGCGGAAGCACCGCAGCAGCCCGCCCATGACCGGCTGCTCGCCCCCGCGCCGCGCTGCACGGAAGCGGCCCAGAGCGAGGCACAGAAAAGGGGGGCAGCGACCAGAGAACCTGTGGCGCCTGTTCGCTTCCAGAACGAGTCCTCTTCCTCTGTCTAGTGTGTTTTCCGATCGGCGGGCACGGTCAAAGATCTCCCCAGGCCTATCCCCTGGTGGCGGACCTGACACCCAGATCTCCCGAGAAGCGGTCACGTTCAGGTTGTGGTTGGGCGGGCAGCAGGGCATGGAACTTCCAGGCCGTTGCCGTTGCAGGGCATGGGTTAAGGTAAAGCTTGCTGGGCTGCGGCTGCAGTGGTGCTGTGACAATTGACAAGCCACAAGAGAACGTGACACCTAGTACGCGTCAGTGTACTGGTGTCGACGACAAGCACGACTAGCGCTTGACTGCTCGACGGCCGTAGCCTATCGGAGAAGACATCGGAGACTGCAGGCGCAGGAAGGAAGGTGCGCTTGCTTAGGGCCGGTTTACATCCGAAAATTTTGACAAAATGAGTACTGTAGCGTTTTTGTTGTTATTTGGCAATTAGTGTCCAATCATAGTCTAATTAGGCTTAAAAAATTCGTCTCGTGGATTTCGTCTAAACTGTGTAATTAGTTTTATTTTTTATTTATATTTAATGCTTCATGCATGCGTCAAAGATTCGATGTGACGGAAAATCTTGAAAAATTTAGCGTTTTGGGAGGGAACTGCACTACTTGATCGGGCTTAAAATCCTGATGCTTTCTTGCTATACATACTCCCTCCCATAGTCCCATCACAATAATATTTTCTTAGAATAAGATTTATAGTTAATAAACCTTAAAAGATATAAACATCAATAACTATTAGT